TGTTTTTAACATCATTGTGTGCATTATATTCCCAGACTTTGTTAACTGTTCTAGGAACAGCAGTTATTTAGGAGACCAAGCCTGAACCCTGTTCCTAGACCAAAGTTTATTTCTATAGCATTTCTCTTCTTCATTAGCTTTTACACAGACCCAATAGAGACTACTGAACATGTAGCTGATAAAAGAAGGGTTCACAGAGACAACAATAGTGATTTTCACTCTCTGAAAGATGTGATTGTATAGACTTGGAGTTAGTTAAAAAATCCCAACACCTCTAGTATAATATTTCTAGTCTAGAAATCATTTATGTGACTGCTGATTTGTTACTCTAGCTGAAAAAGATAAGTAGATATGACTAAAAAAATAAGATAGAGGAAGATGGTTCTCACCATCACAACTCAATGAACTTCTGAAAAGCCACCAGCAAAACAATATAAGACCAATGACTAGATGTGACTTTAATTATGTAATAAGGCAGTGGTCATATGAAGAAAATACACTGGTGTAAGGCAAGCCTCCCATCATGATGTCGGTGTTACCGAATCAAAAGGATCATCTGCTTCCCGTCAGAGCAAAGGCACTCAAGTATGTTCCGTCCTTTGCTATTATATTACTTAGAAATTATTATTAAAATATTTTTTTCCTATCCACCCCACTATTTCTCTCTGCAAGCTGTTATACTCCAACGGCCTTTCACTTTCTTACTGCCGGCCAAGCCTGCTTTGGCAAGCAGCGGAGGCTCGGCCGGTTCCGCACCGGCCGAGCCCGGGCCGGGTCTCGCTGCAGGACGGCCATGTCCTCCTGCCCTGCGGCTCAGCCCGCGCCCCTCCCCTGCCGGCACCCGGTACGTGCCAGCGCTCCCCGTGCGGCGGCGGCGGCGGCGGCGGCGAGGCCGGTGAGCACGGCCGGGGGCGGCGGGGCTCGGGCCGCTCTCCGGCAGGCCCGGCCCCGGGGCATGGGGGGTGGAGAGGCCAGCCGGCGTTCCGCTCGTCCCGCTCCGAGCGCCGGCGGGGCGCTGAGGGTGGGCGGGCGGCGTGCGGGGGGAGAAGCCCGCGGTTCCGAGGGAAGCGAGGCGGGGGAGGGACCCCCGGGCACGGGGACCCCGCGTCGGCCGCCGGTGTCGGCGGCAGGAGCGGCGCGAAACGGCTGCGGGGCGGGGATGGGCCTGCAGCCGCTGCCCCCGTGCTGGCTGCGGGAGAACGTTCACCTCCTCCCTCTCCGCCCCCAAGCGGGGTCCGAAGGCTGGGAAAGGGACGGCCCAGGTGGCCGGGCCGTGGGAGCGGGTTGTGCTGGAGACCCGGGTTTTGTCTGTGCTGAAAGCACCACCACTTAATGACCAGTGGTTTAAATAGTGCGGCTCGTCCTTAAGCACTTTGCAAATGTCTCCTTTCCTAAATATAAGAAAAAGCTTTGTTCCCATGAGGAAGTTGAGCAGTGGAACAGGTAACTCACAGAGGCCGCTGGGCTCCATTCATTGAGGTTTTAAAGACCTGACTGGACAAAGCAGCCTGGATCTTGCAGACCCTGCTTTGAGCTCTTGAAGTCCCTTCAAACCTGGATTACTCTAGGATCATCTCTATTTTTTTTTTCTAGTAAGTTTTATGTTGGTCCAGCATGTATTTTATAATAATTTACCTAATTTCCACCACTAATGCAAAGCAGGGATTTATTTTTTGTTAGTGCATAAGTGTGATCATTTACTGTGCATTAATCTACAAAACTGCAACCTCTCACCACCACAGATTCCTTCACAAACCATTCAAACCTTGTCTACACTGCTCTCTTCTAGGTAGATACATACTCTTCTTGGTTCACTCAAAGTTCAATCTAGGCATTCAGTAGTTTTATTTAATTCTTTATAGCCTACTAAGTTTCCTGTTATGAGAATGGTAGTGGTCAGCAGTCATACCGTTGCCCTCTTTACTGAAAGATTTTGTGAACAGTCCAGCAGGAGTAAAAGTTTGGGTTTGCTAATTTTCAAAAAAGTGATATTTGAGTCTCAAAACACACATTCAGAAATTCATATGAGGGATAAATCAACCAGTTGATCATTGTATCTACACATAGAAGTCTCATCAAATAATGAAACTTCCAGCACCCCATTACTCTGTATATTCAGGTCTCTGCAAGTGTGCTAGCAAGCAGGATCACAGGTAACTGACATTCGGTCACTTCCTTATTGCTGTTCTAACACTTGGTGGTGAGAGGGTGCTGTTGGCAGTGAGAGCAAGCATCTTATCTGAGCTGGCTGGGTTTTTTCCTTAATCTCTCAACTGCTTTACAATCCCCACAGCAATCTAGTTATGTGAAAAGTTACAGTGGGGTCTTGCACATTAGAACATGTATTAGATCCAACAAGAGCTTTGAGAGAACTCTGAATTCTTGAAAGCAGTTACATACCTGAAATGTGAATACTGTCATCTATGGATTTGGAAATCCATCAAGTCATAACTCAGATCTTGGTTTCTATAGAACACCATGACATTGAAATTCATTCATGTTATTTCGCATGTTGTATTTTGCATAGGGCTTTTTACAAGGGCTTCTAAATATCCCTGTCAAATGAGTTTTGGTAAATAAACTTTTCCTTTCTTTTACAGTATTCTGTGTTTCTGATGATCCTTGCTAACAACAGGGAAAAACTGACTATGATCCCAGGCATTTTTAGAAAATGTAAAGTTTCTTTTATGTGAATGTAACAACCATTCCCATGTCAGATTTCAGAAGAGCACAATTTACTATCTCAGAGTATTTTTGAAGCTCTGTAATAGTAAAAATTACAGTATTTTAAGGGATTGCATTACTCACAAGGCAATTTTGTTTAACAGCATGATTACGCATTTAAGTAAAAGTAAGTCATGTTTATTTTTCCAGTTTGTACTTTGGAAATATTACTTGACATCCCAAACTATTTTAACAACACTTCACTTTGCTGGCTGCTTCTAGCTAAGCTGAAGCATTAATGAAGAAAACCCTGATCCTTCAGAGATTTGCTTATTCTAACTGGACCCACTAAACTCAGTAAAACTACTCAGAGTGCTCAGACACAGGCAGTTGTGTCACTCCTGTGGAGGAGAGGTTTAGTTTGCAGTCACTTTTTCAGGACATGGAAAGGTCAGCACAGAAAACATCTGTGACTTACCTACACTTCCAGTGCTTCCAATGCTTTTAGGGTTACTGGGAAAAATCACTTGTTCTGTTGTGGGGCTTGGGACAGCATTTCTGAAGTCACAAGGTGTATGAAGACAAAATCATCAGCCTTGGGGTTCTGACACAAGCAGTGCATTAGGCAATTGGTTTTGCCTTAGACGTGTGAAATAACACTAAAGAACAAGTTATCAATAAACAGCTTCTGTTAATAACATAAGTGTGCATATAGGAAATGACATCATATTCTATTAGTTTATGATGTAATAACATAATAATAGTCCATCTCAGAAGCAGGAAAAAAACAATATAAAAACAAAGGTACACTCTCTTGAGACAAAGGATTTACCTCTGGAAAATATGTAACCTTACCTGGCAGCTAGAAAGAGAATCTACCACTGAAGTTTTCTAAACAAACCACATATTTTCTTAAACAGTGGGCTGTAAGGAAGATTCTAGGGCTCTTGTACAGCTGTACAATAGGTATGTTGGTCTGTTATGTAGAACATTGGACTGCACGGTCATAACAGTATTTTCTCTCCTAAAAAAACAAAACCAACCAACCCACCCAACCAAAAAAAAAAAAAAAAAAAAACAAACACCAAACCAAAACAACCAAACAAAACCCACAAAAATACCCCCCCCTCCTCCCAAAAAAACCAACAAAAAAGCCCAGCCAAAAGTAATTTAACAATGCTCAGGTCGGTACTTTTTGAAGCATGCTATACTTAGGAAGAGGTGAAAGCAGCTGTCCAAATGTTCCCATTTTCAGTTTGAGCAGTTTTAAGCATATTACCAGCAGCAGCTATTTGCAGGAGTACTGCAGAGATCAGCAGTTCTCCCTTCCACAGTCAGTACTTCCAAAGGGTTGTTATGAAAACACCCCCCAGGAAGTTAAAGATACACTTAATGATATCTTTCTTTGACTGCTGTGGCTCCTTTGCCCCTGCAGAGCAGGTGACAGTGCATGTGGTATTGGTGATAACTGGGCAGCCAGTTTGAGCAAAGGTGAGGTGTGGGGTTGGCCCTGTGGACTCCAGCACAGCCACACACCTATTCCACAAGGACTCTGCCTACAGAAGAGACCTAGAGACCTGGAGGCAGAAGTAAGGCATTGGTGCAAGCAGCAGCTGTAGCAAAGTAGGTGTCAGAAGAGGTAGGTGAAGGCCTGGAAATGTTACTGTGTACTTGCTTCCTCCTCTAAAATACCAGGGTGGTTATTCAAACGCAATTAACACAATCAGCTGCAGAAAAACACTTACATAAAGGTTCCTATGATTTTTTTTCCCTCCCTTAATTATATAAAGAATGATTTCAAAATGAAATTATACTGCAAACTGCTGCTGAAGCAGCCCTGCGTGGTAGGTCTCTGACACATGAAAGAACAACTCACACTCCAAATAATGCTTGAGAAGTTAAAGCAAATACATTCATAAGAACTAAGAGATTTAAGTTGCCATTTTTGTCCATTTAGTGGGATTGCTGTCAAATGAAATTGCATGAATAATTTTCCTCATACAGTGTGAATGATCTGTAATGCAGTCACAATGTTAGCTGCAAGAAATGGCAGACAGTTTGGAGCTTGTATGACTGCAAACATTGATATGGGCAGAGCACTGCCCTACATCAGGTCTGTATCCATCAGAACATTAACCTTTCTGTGACATATCCATCAGAACATTAACCTTTCAAAAATGGTCTTTCCCCCTGCTTCCATGTGAAAGCTGGATTTTGCACTAATAACAAAAACCACTCTGGAGAGCAATTTCTTACACTAGTTATGTCTAAACATCAATGATTCTGACCATTAACTCGTTCCTTAAATGTGTTTTCTTACAGTTGTTGTGTCTCCACAGGACTGACTTCCATGATGCTGAGAGGGGTTGCTCACGGTGCAAAAGAAACATTCACGCTTCTGTTGACAAGATCTCCGAGCTCTAACACAGGACTAAAGTTTTCATCAGCATGGCCTGACGTAGCAAACAGAAGCTTCTTAATACATTCCAATTACACAACTGATACCAAGTCAAGAGAGGAAAATAAAAAAACCCTCGAGAATCTCTACAGTTTGTCAGTTGACATCACGAAGATACGCAGACTGAAGGAATGGGTCCTTCTCCAGGACGTGGCCTATGTTAAAGAAATTGCTGGCATCTTACAGGAAATGGGAGCAGATGAGACCACTGTAGCCAGCATTATAGAACGCTGCCCCGAGGCAATTCTCCACACCCCAGCAGAGATAAACTCTCAAAGAGCTTTATGGCAATTAGTATGCCAGAATGAAAAACAGATGATTAAATTAATAGAGCAATTTCCAGAGTCTTTTTTTACTACCGAGTATCAGCAGAACCAGAAGGCAAACATACTGTTTTTTCAAGAGCTGGGACTTAAGAATAATATAATCACCAGGTTCTTGACAAGTGCACCCAATATTTTCTACAACCCCGTTGAGAAAAACAAAAACGTGATAGAGACATTACAAAGAAATTATTTAAATTTAGGGGGCTCTGAAGCAAATATGAAGATCTGGATACTAAAGCTATTGAGCCAAAATCCATTTATTTTATTAAATACTTCCACTGCAATCCAGGAGAACTTGGAATTTCTCCAAAAGAATTATTTCACTGACCAGGAAGTTCTACAGCTGCTGTCCAAACTTAAAGGCTTCATTTTTCAACTTAATTCTACCACTATGCAGAAGAGTATGCTTTTCTCCAAAAACATCTTCAAGTGCAGTGATCAAGAACTAAAACAACTAGTGCTGAAATGCCCAGCCCTTCTCTACTATTCTGTCACAGTTTTGGAAGAAAGACTTGAAGGACTACTGAAGGAAGGAATTTCTATAGCACAGATAAGAGAGACACCAATGGTGCTGGAATTGACAACACAAATTGTTCAGTATCGAATTAAAAAGCTCTCTGCATTAGGATATGATATAAAGAGTGGAAATCTAGAAAGCTTGAATGGTACTAAAAAAGATTTTGAAGTCACTTATGGTAAGATACAATCAAAGAAGGAGAGACCAATTTTTAATCCTGTTGCTCCTCTACACGTTGAAGATTAATGTGAATGCTGTACTTCAAGTTATGCAAAAGCAAATTAAAAGGCAAGTTGATTATTTGAGAAGAGATAGAGCAAAAGCAATCTTAATCAAGACTGTAGTCTTACACTATACTTTGTTCAGGAGGGGGTCTTAGGTACAACTTCATTATACAATCACAGTATTGTAATACTTTAAAATATCATCATAAAAGTTACAGTTATGATAAAGGTTGCCTTTTCTAAGAGTAGCTCAGATGTGACATTTTCTTACCTGACAGGGCATTAACTGCCTTAGATTTTCAGCTCTGTCTGCACAGTCCAGCCTGTGGTAGTGATTAGCACAATTTTTATCTGAGGAAGACAAAAGGAAGATTATTTTTCCAGCGGTGTTCATCAATCGGCTGGTTTGCTGTCTTCAGGAAACGCCCTTGGAGTTCTTTTCCTTATTGCTGAAGTAGCTCTAGCTCCTGGATCCTGACCTGCAACAGACTTGATTTCTTGGACAGCAAAGCCCTGCCCTGAGAACAGGGGCTGGACATAATATTTTTTATTAACTGAGACCCTAGTATCTTTGTGTACAAACCATAATGCAAAGAAACTATAAGATGATAACATTTATATTTCTGAGACTTCAAAATTTACTTATTTTTTCAAATGGTGTAGGAGAGAAAGAAATACATTTATTGCTATTGTATAGTTCTTAATCCCTTCTAGCAAGGTTTGGCAACAAGAAAGATTAAGGAGAGACTCAAGTCTCAAATGATGGTAGGAGAAAAGAGAAAGTTATGCTTTTCTATTAGGTGCAACAAAACTCTAATCTGTAAACCACTGGTGATTAAACATGACTACCAGATTTGCAAACAGCTGCAACAGTTTCTAAATATATGGGTGACACTGCTTCTAAGATAACACCATATGACAATTGGTGACAAGTGCTGACTTTCAAAATAGACAGCGTTTAAGTTCTCAGGGGATTTGATTTCTTCTCATTTATGGGCTGTGAATGATAATATAAAACAGTAGCATCACTGACAATCATCTCAATAGGATTAGGATCCGTGATTTTATTTCGCGGACTTTCCTAAGTAGCTATTCCACACACATTCCCTCTTGACAGCAGAATAAAAGCCAGCTACACACCACCCTCATTCCAGGCATTCTTCAAGGTCATTTTTAACACACATCTTGGCAGCAAGTCCAGGCCTCCATTTCTTAAAATGTGGTTTGTAATTGCTGAAGAAAGTTGGTATTGAATTACTGGTCCAGAGGGTGGGCTGCAAGATGATGAGTTTTTACAGTCTGCCACGTTATCTGCTGTGCTCTGGTGAGGGGCTGGGAACACCTGGTAGGAGCAGTGCAAAGATCCCAACAGCTGAAGGTTTTACACTGAGCACTCTGCAGGCAAATGTAGGCGTGACAGGCGTTTCTGGGGGTAAATGGCAATCCTGCAGGAGTGTGTGCGACACTGGCAGGAATTCAAGAAGGGGACGTATCACAGCACGAAAAAAGTCAGGTTGTGGTACCAGGCTATGTCTATGCTGACTCTTTCAAAACTCATTATCGTCTTTAAAGAGGGAAGACAGCTATATTAAAAATTCACAGGAACTTGCCTTTGTCACTTTGAGACTGTCTTTCCCTGCTTAGCCATTAAGCAGACCACAATTTTATCTGAATTTAAAAGCCTCCTTCCCCTCAGACACAAAGGGGCATTTCAGCTCTCCAAAGCTCTTCTAACACAACCTGTTAGTTGTGACCAGAGTCAGAGACCCTTAAGGTAGCTTAAGAGGAAAAGGAAACCAAGACATACAACAGTGTTTTCCCTGAATATTTAGTTCTAGCATTTTTACAGGTACCTGTTTTTACAAAGTTCTTGAAACAGCTTATTCCCATCACTTAAATTATTTGCTGTGGCAACAGAACAGGAAAAGGATGTATTTCCTTAACTAACTCACAGCCTGAGTTACCACAAACTCATTTTGTGTTCTGAATGTTTCAATTTCTTTTCCCCTTTGAAAATAAAAGTATTCACAGAAATGCTCCTCTTCTACCAGATGAAAATTCAGTCAATCCTTCATTCCTAACTCTATCCTGGGACCCGTTTCTCTCTTCTTCACAGGATTAATTTACAATAAAACCTCAGGAAAATTCCCAGTCACCAAAACACTGTATTGCTGAAATCCTCATCTTTTGTTACTCACAGTGACTGTGGACCAGCCTGTGAGTAAAGCCTTTCACTACCTAGAGAGAGCAGTCAGGCATACAAGCTGCCTTCATAAACATTTCCCCTTTTGGAACAGGGACTGGGAGAAGCAAAGTGAAATACAGCTACCACAGAAACAATCCCAAGACAAAAGAAAAGCCTCACTCCCCCAGAAGATTTCAGTTCCATATTCCATTCAGCTATGATCTTAAAACTGGATATTCCCAAGCATCATTGACCAGGAGAAAAGAAAATTAGTGCAAAGGATTTTGTGCTGTGTCTGTGCATAGCTTACACACTGAAGCTAAAGATTTTGTTAAGAACTGGTTGGTGCTAAGTAGACACAAATAAAAGACACTCTGGAGCATGATACTATGGGAAGATTTATACCTAAGTATGCCTTTCTCCACAAAATTAAGGAAGCTTTCAAATGTCTGAAACAGCAACAATTTAATGTTTCACAGGTGCCAGGACAGAATGGGAACAAGTTTTTAAGATGAAGCAAGTTTCATAAGTGAATGGAAAACACACAGGCTACAGGACAAAACTCTTTGAAAAATAAACCCATATGCCATGTAAAAGTTTCAGTTTACAAGACTCAAAATAATAGCTACAGGATATGTTAAGAACAAAATATAATGGAGTGTTGGCAACTCCTTACATACCTAACATTGCTTATCTCTGAGCACACTTGTTTTGCTGCAGGTTTCATAGTTTACAATTAAAGAATTTAATAAAAAAACAGGTAGGACCAGTTCAACATTCCCATTTACAGAAAAACTATTAGGAAGAGTTTGGTTGAGTGTCACAAATTATCACTGTGCTCCAAACAGGTGACTCCAAAAGAGTTTAGTGGCAGCACTTGGAGGATATTGCTACACTGGAAATTGCAGGGGAGCAGACCATACTAAATTATATGCTGCAGCAAAATTGCCTCTGATATCCAGACTAGCTCATTTCTAGAGCTAACTGGTACCTCTAAACAATACTATATTCTATACAATTTGCTTTTGACTATAAAAAAAATCAGTTAAAGTCTTCCATTTGTTGCATCAACTTACCTCATTTCCCCCTTGCAGCAGATCAGAACCAAGCAGCTGGTGTATCTAACAAAGGAGCAGATGTCATTTCTTGGGTTTTTGCTCTCCCCACTGCCCCAAGTTCCATGCTTACAAGTATCATGCTTCCAACATATACGATTTCTGATTTAAGATAAAGTTGTTGCAGAGTGCAGTTGATGTACCAATGGCTCAGAGAGATTGGGTGACTACAAGTCACCCAATAGAAGTACTGCATTTTGCTCAAGAATACCATAATTGAGACAAGGTGTACTTTCAACACCCATGAACAGAGGATAAGTTTGACAAGTGATATGTTTTGAGTTTTCTCATTTTTAAAAAGTCCCCCCCATATAACCACCTAGTGCAACCACAGCCACTGAAAAGGTAAGTGTACAAGTTCTCCATAGAAACAAATGTTTTTAGAAAATACTGCATACACACGATGAACAGATACCTCCCATGGGCTTCCAAAGACATTACTTATTTTTAAAATCAGTACACAAATAAAAGATCACAAATGGTTTCTATTTTAAGGCAACCTCATGCTGTGTCATTACAAGTGCATTTTGCCTCACACGCTGCAGAGGATGTACAGGTGTTCCCATTTGAGGTGTAAACATTTGGAATCTGTCAGTATACAAATTACTTGAATCATGTTGCCTTTTTTTTTAAGGCCTCATCTACTGTTTTTGGTTTGTTTTAAATAAATGTATTGCATTTTACTCAAAAATCAAGGTGAAAAGTACAAGAAATGTAGTGAAAATTTCCTTGCATTTGCTTAAACAGAGCAAAAAGCTAACCTGGTGTATCACGGAGTTGAGAGAACGGCTTTGCTAGTTCTTCAGTGGTTTCCAGCTACACAAGAATTCCTAGCAAGTTAGACAGCTGTGTTAGATGACCACAAACATCAGCCCATTTTCCACAGGCTGTCATTTTTTTCTAGTGTCTATAAGAACTTTATTAGAAGCAAGTTCTCACTTGCAGGAGATAGATGCATATTATTAAATACACCTGAGATGAAGCAATCACATTTTCAGTAAAAACTGAGAAAGTTTCAGATATCAGAATTTATAAAGAGCCTAAAGCTCATTCTGTAAACTGCACTGAAACGACAGGACAGTTCTTTACACAGCTTCACCTAGTAAAAAGAGATTTTCTTCTAATAAGGCATTAAGTCAGTTTACTCTTTATGATCCTTTCTACCACATTTGTTAAACTTTTTCACTTCTATCTCCCATTCTCATTTCCAAATTCTGCACACCTCCAGTCTCTTTGCTCCAGTCTTCACTGTCAGAATGCAGTCAGGGATAGTTTACAGGCTGCCTGCAAGTACAGGTTCAGAACCAAGACTGGGTATGTCCAACAGTGCTTTCACACAGCTGAAGGATACTTAGCAGGAGAGTGTGGAAACCACTGAGAACAATAACTGTCATCTTGTTGTATCGATGGCATCACAGAGACTACTGAATTTCTACATTCACATTTTAGTCCAAAACTGCAGAAGATGTACAGTAAATGACTATTCAAATATGTATTATTCCTTCAGATACACTCACTTCTATAGTTATCAAGTGTAACATTTCACCAGATACAAAGCTTCAATCTAGGCTCTAAAAAATCCTTATACGCTGTGCTAGCCATGCTCCTGTCCTTTTCAGATGAAATTGAGTTACTTGCACAACTCATTAGAAGATGAAGTGTCTAAGACACATGGCTTCTCATGGTCCCAATCTTAGCAGATTTTAATGCCACTGATGCAATATTCTGGAGAATTGAGTATGTCTCAGTTTTGGTTTTAGTCAGACTTGTCCTTTTTCTTTCCTGTTAAAGGCACTTTACTTGCAACAGCAGATCCTACAGCTGTAACGCCTCCAGCTACAGCAGAAACACTTCCTTTGACTAGACCCACTCCCACGGAAGGCACAGATGTGACCGCTGTTTTGGTAATTTCCAAGCTCTTCCCTCCAATCCAAGCAACACCTCCAATTGTGGCACCAACAGCTCCCTTTGTGACACTGAAGAGGCCACCAGTCACACGAGAAAGCATGCCAGCCTGCTGCTGCGGGTGATCTTTGAGTGACCCTAAGGGAAGAAACAACAAGCAAATCAATCTCAGCACCAGGATTAAAGCATTTTCAAAAAAGTGTTTCTCAAAAGTATTTCCTTTTCTAGCCTAACAGCCATTGCATACAGTCTATACTTACCCTGCAGGCTGCTTTTCTTGGATGCTCATACACCTAGTTCCAAATAACAAACAACAGGGAAACCAAGAAAAGAGCAAGTGGAACCACAGTGGGCAGAGCTAGGGAATAAACAGACATGAAATGAAAAGGTGAGGGAGTCAGGAACAGAAATAACGTGCTTGGAGGAGGACAACTACTCTAGGAGGTAGCAGGAAAGAAAACAGCTCTAGAGGCACGGGAGACCTCTGTCCAGCCCTGCCAACACACTTTCCACTGCAACATGCCTTAGGAGAACCAGCTGAACAGATCTGTGTCCAGTGCCCTCATTGCCCACAACTTGCATCCAGAGCACAGATTCCAAGAGTCACGTCCCAGCACTCATCTACTACAAGATGAAAACTAGGGTGAGCAACTTTCCATGCACTGCCAATACATTTGTGATGGTGCCAGGACTGACCTAGGACTCAGAATTCATTAAAAAACTGTAGAGGTCAGAGTTCCTATGTGCGTGTCTGGAATAACTCAAGCAAAAGGTGCCACCTAAATGAGAGAATTTTCTACAAAGTTGACAAAAAAGGAAAACAAGAATACAGAATAGTGAAACCCAAAGGAGTTGAAAATACTGAAAGTCCTTCCAGTTCACACTAGTCTCTTAATTAAGAAATTGATATAGATTATAGAAAGGGTAATGGAAACTGAAAACA